TGTTGCCACAAGGAAATTAGGCAAGTTCAGCCAGGAAGGGTGGGTGGGTATATATAGTGCTGATCCTGCCTGGCTATCTCCCAGTCAAAACCATAAGTGCCTTGTCTTTGCTTATAGTTTTATAGCAAGCTAACAAATGTGCAACAACTATCTCTTTGTATAATAAACAACAAAACAAACCCACAGCTGTCAATGAAAGTCAAGTTGAGCAAGAATGTAACTGTCTGGGATCAGATATGTTTCCTTGATTAAAAAAAAAGAAAGTCAAACCCATATATGGAAGAAAAGGGGAGTGTGGGCTCACTTTTTTTTAGAATTTTTCCAGCCTGATGATTGTCAGAATTCTCTGATAATTTCATTTACTGACTTTTTTCACATTCCTGTGTTGTTCTAACTCAGTTTTCTCCATAGTAACAATTGATTAAGAGCAAAAAGAAATATTTTAACTATCCCTACAGGGACTCAGGGGTTATGAAGGCATATAGATATATATACTTAATTTCCCCAGCTTGGCTGGAGCTATCAAAATGCTACATCTACCTGCTGATATAGACCAGCTTCACGCATTTACAGCTTCTTCACGACAGAGAATAAACACTTCTCACGACTGAAACCTGTCAGATAACTAAGGGAAACAGGTGTCTTGGGCCTTGTCTTCTCCAGGGAAAATGGTGTATTTTATCACATTTTGGAAACACATGGTAAAATGAGACCTTTTTTCCTAGTGTGGATGCAGCTTTGGGATAATGAAATAAATAAACAGGTGCTCCAGTCCAGGGAATTGGAGGAGTTGACTCTTTCCTTTATGAGAAACACAGTCCAATGCTCTGTCGCTTCCTGGAAATAACAACTCCTCCCTCCTCTCCCCCAGCTGCTGCCAAGTACTGACTTTTACACACAAAGATTCCTTATGTTCACATCAGTTTGATTTATGAGATCAGGTCTGAGTCAACAGTTTTTCCTTATCTAGGGAGTACCGGTACAGAACTGCAGAGATGCTTATTGCCAGGATCCTCTTGCAGAGACTGGAAGAGAAGAGGGAATATCAAATGCACCAGAGATACAATAGGGGCTTTTCTCTGTGCTTGGATCAGAGGCTGTGGAAGTGCAAATACAGACATCCAAGGACTGTTAAAATTGGATTGCTATAAGTGATATTTACAGCACCCTCTTCATCTATTGCTCAGAGCACCTATAAATATCAAAACAGTTCAAATTCATTGTATTTCTACTGAAATCAGTGGGCCAAATCCTGAAATCCTTCCTCATAATCACATCATACCCTAAGGATTTGCAGGCAGAAAGGACATCAGTGCACAACTTTCTTCACCTCCATGGAGCAAAGAGGGTGTGTGGCAGTGTGTGACACCAGTCTTTGAGACATTTCTCACCTAGACTTTAAGAAGAAATCTCTGGGTCCAGGGATCTGCACCTAGGGAGGAGATGCAGGGTGGGTAAGAGAGGAGAGGCTAGAGATGGGACTAGGGAGATGCACACCATCCTGCACCAGCCATGCAGAGATTGCAAAGGTGAGAGAATATAGATAGAGGCTGTATTACCTTAGTTAAGGGGGATCCCGGGGCAGCTGCAGCCAGGGGAGGCCCTGGTAGTGACACTTCATTAGAGTCCACTTCCATTGCAAGAGCGTGCATGCACAGGGCTGGATTTAAGCAACAAGGGGGACTTTTTCCTTGTTTTTAGATCCGAGGGGGTTGGATCTTGATCCACCAGGAGTTGGTGGGAGAAAGGAGGGGGATGGTTAATTTCTCCTTGTTTTAAGATCCAAGGGGTTTGGATCTGTATTCACCAGGGAATTGGTGAAGAGTCTCTCAAGGCTACCCAGGAAAGAAAATTAGCATTTTGGGAGTGGTGGCAGCGGACCAGATCTAAGCTGGTAGTGACGCTTAGAAGTTTTCATCCAGGCCCCCACATTTGTACCCTAAAATTCAAAGTGGGGATTATCACTTACATTTTTTTCTCTTACTTAATTGGCCTCTCAGAGTTGGTAAGACAACTCCCACCTGTTCATGCTCTCTGTTTGTGTGTATATATATCTCCTCAATATATGTTCCACTCCATATGTATCCGAAGAAGTGGGCAGTAGCCCACGAAAGCTTATGCTCTAATAAATTTGTTAGTCTATAAGGTGCCACAAGTACTCCTGTTCTTCAAGGGGGACTTGTAGCTCTGCCCCTGCATTTGGAGTGGAGATGGTCCCTCCCTTCCCAGAGAGGCAGGGTGGCACCACTGGGCCCCCATTTCCCTCCAGTAATGAGAGAAGGAATTCCCTCCCCTCAATTGCAGCAAGGGTCTCCCAGTACTCAGCCAACAGCTGAGCTATATCCACTTGGGTGAGTGGCCCACACCCACTTCACTTTTCCTCCTGCCACTCCCAGGGTGCCCTGCTGGAGTGTTATTGGAGGAATCCCACTACTTTGAGTTGCAGGGGAAGCAGGAGGGCTTTGTGGGTAGAGCACAAGAGCGGGACTCAGGAGCCATGGGTTCTATCCCTGGTTCTGCTGCTGGCCTACTTTGGGCAAGTCACTTCTCTGGGCCTCAGTTTCCTCAATCTGTAAAATGGGAATAACAATACTGATCTCCTTTGTAAAGTGCTTTGAGGTCTATGGATGAAAAGTGCTATATAAGAGCTAGGTGTGTTATTACATACCATTGAGATGCATGGGGCAGTTCACCCCTCACACTGTCTTCACTTTGACAGCGAGATCACTACTGTGCATTAGCTCTCTTGCTGTAAAATCCTAGTACAGGCAAGGCAGAGGTAGTTTGTATTTTGATGCAGCTAGGCAAGGTCAACACTTATTGCCCACTTTTAAAAGGTTCATTTAGCCAATCCAGGAACAGAAATACCAGTTAATGACAACTGAAGTGACCAACCATGCAACACAAACAGCACATAGAAGATCAAGTGAAAAGTTTGTGAACTATCAATAGCCTAAAAGTTGTTTGTTAAAACTGTTCATCCAGTACTTAAGTAAAAACACTCTCAGAAACTAGGATGGGGTCCTGAAACTTTAAATTGATGAGATTTGTAGTAGGGCTGTTGATTAATCGCAGTTAACTCATGTGATTAACTCAAAAAAATAATTGTGATTAATCACAGTTTTAATCGCACTGTTAAGCAATAGAATACTAATTGAAATGTATTAAATATTTTGGATGTTTTTCTACATTTTCAAAAATATTGATTTCAATTACAATACAGAATACAAAGTGTACATTGCTCACTTTATATTGTTTTTGATTAAATATTTGCACTCTAAAAATGATAAGCAAAAGAAATAGTATTTTTCAATTCACCTCATACAAGTACAATAGTGCAATCTCTTTATCGTGAAAGTGCAATTTACAAATGTGGATTTTTTTGTTACATAACTGCACTCAAAAGCAAAACAACGTAAAACTTTAGAGCCTACAAGTCCACACAGTCTTGTTCAGCCAATCACAAAGACAAACAAGTTTGTTCACATTTACGGGACATAATGCTACCTGCTTCTTATATACAGTGGCACCTGAAAGTGAGAACAGGCATTCGCATGGCACTGCAAGATATTTAAGTGCCAGATATGCTAAACATCCATATTCCCCTTCATGCTTTGGCCACCATTCCAGAGGACATGCTTCCATGCTGATGACGTGCGTTAAAAAAAATAACGTGTTAATTAAATTTATGACTGAACTCCTTGGAGGAGAACTCCTGCTCTGTTTTACATGCATTCTGCCACGTATTTCATGTTATAGCAATCTCGGATGATGATCCAGCACATGTTGTTTGTTTTAAGAACACTTTCACTGCAGATTTCACAAAATGCAAAGAAGGTACCAATGTGAGATTTCTAAAGATAGCTACAGCACTTGACCCAAGGTTTAAGAATCTGAAATGCCTTCCAAAATCTGAGAGGGACGAGGTGTGGAGCATCCTTTCAGAAGTCTTGAAAGAGCAACTTTCTGATGCGGAAACTACAGAACCCAAACCAAACAAAAAGAAAATCAACCTTCTCCTGGTTGCATCTGACTCAGATGATGAAAATGAACATGCGTCGGTCTGCACTGCTTTGGATTGTTATTGAGCAAAACCTGTCATCAGCATGGACGCATGTCCTCTGGAAGGGTGGTTGAAGCATGAAGGGACATATGAATCTTTAGTGCATTTGGCATGTAAATATCTTGTGACACCAGCTACAATAGTGGCATGTAAATGCCTATTCTCACTTTCAGGTGACATTGTAAACAAAAAATGGGCAGCATTATATCCTGCAAATATAAACAAACTTGTTTGTCTTTGCGATTGGCTGAACAAGAAGTAGGACTAAGTGGACTTGTAGGCTCTAAAGTTTTACATTGTTTTATTTTTGAATGCAGCGTTTGTTTTTTACATAATTCTACATTTGTAAATTCAACTTTCATGATAAAGAGATTGCACTACAGTACTTGCAATGGGGGAATTGAAAAATACTATTTTGTTTTATACAGTGCAAATATTTGTAATAAAAAATAAATATAAAGTGAGCACTGTACACTTAATATTCTGTGTTGTAATAGAAACAATATATTTGAAAATGTAGAAAACATCCAAAAATATTTAAATAAGTGGTATTCTATTATTGTTTAATGGCACGATTAACCTTGATATCCCTAATTTGTAGCAAATACTTTGCTACAGTGTTCACAACACTGACTCCCCCCTCCACTCCAATATTTAGGATGACATTTTGAGAGAGGCATCAACCTGGCCTCTAATTTTGTGTCTGCAGATGCAGGTGCAAGAATTTAGAAGCCCAACCCTCTAATTTGATGGTGCAAGCGTAGTTTGCTCCTGCAATTAGGTAGTGAAAAGGTGTGTGTGTGTATATAAGTAAGAGAGCGCTAAGTATTTTGGAGTACACCATAGACACAGAAAAGCTTGTACCATTGCCTGTTGTAAGGCCTCCAAAAACCACCACTCAAAGACCCCAGGGGAAAGAAGTCAACAAGCCTAGTGGTGCCGTTTTAGTTACTAGATTTTTATTACAAATACATTTTAAAAATTGTTGATGGTACAGCCCACAGCTGTTTTTACTACATAAAAGGAGCTGGATTGTTCCTTCAGTTGAGCCAGGAAGAGAGTGCTTGGCACCCCCATGGTCCTGAATGAGGTCTGTGATTTGTCTTCGGATCTAAGACTCTACCTATGGCAACCATTAACACCTTTCAGCAAAAGGATGGCAAATGCAAAAGGAAAGGGGACACAGCAAAGCAGGCACTGTATGCAGTGTAGTTGTAGCTGTGTCAGCCCCGGGATATTAGAGAGACAGGGTGGGTGAGGTAATATATTTTATTAGACCAACTTCTGATGGTGAGAGAGACAAGCTTGAGTTACAGTGGGCACACACTGCTTCTGTCAGTGCTCAGTTTCACAGATTGGGTGGTGAAAAAAGTGGGAGTCAAGCCCACAAGAGGGAAATTGGGAGATGCTGCAAGAAGGAAAAGAGAGGCTTAGGGAAACAGACCAGAATCGCTCCCAAGGTGGACACTATTTTAGGATATAATTATTCTGGAATAATATGATTTACGTGTTCAAATTGCACTAATTATTCCAGAATAAATTCCAAAATATTTAAATTCCAGTGTCCACATGAGGAGCTATTGCAGATAAGTTTATTCCACAATAATTATTCTGGTCAATTTTTCCATGTAAACAAGCCATAAAGACAGGGAAAGGAGGACGGGGAAGGAGGAGAAACAAAAGGCAAAAATAGCCATGGTCTGAAAAGTTAGCATATTTTTCTACAGAGTGAATTCAACAATAAGGCACTGGCGTTTACTAAAAGCCATATTTATCTTTGTCCTTTAGGCAGACTTACTATTAACATAAGGGAAGTTCCTACTATGGATCCAGAGAAGTACTGCATAGAGATCTGTATTTATACCCTGCTTCATAGATCACAACTAAAAATAGACTTTAGCCCTCTCCCCAATATGAGTTTGACACCCCTGCTCTATAGGAAACAACCTGTCCTTTTAAACACTCTACCTTATAGGTCTATTGTTTCGCGCATTTTGTTGCTTGTTTGTTTAAATTTAGACGCAATATGTTTCTACATAACTTGAAATGCTGAGTTATAATTTTCAGATGCCATTGTGCAATTGCAGCTCTCTCTCTCTCCTCTTTCCTGGAGAGGCATTTTCCAAAATTAGTTCTGAGTGCTAGTATAGTTCATGGATGGGCAATTGGCAACTCCGTGTCAAAGAACCAAAAACCACAAGATGGATGATTTCAGATGCATTTTCTGACATAGAACACTGATTTGTAATTTGTGACTTGTAAGAGGTCTGATGACTGTCTTAAGCCTTATGAAGTGGTTGTTGCTGGGCAGAAGCAAACCATATAATTCACTTCTGTTCCATTATGTCCTTTGAAAATTGGGATTGTTCATCCAGATGAAGTCACGGCAGAGTTTTTATTCACTGTATAAGTTCCCATCTGCTAATGGAGAAGGAAAGGAAATCTCTATTAGTATCATCATACTCAATCAATGATCAATAAGTCAGCAGCTACTCATTTCCTTTGGCTCTGGTGGTTGCTGATTCCCGGCCCAAGTTCCAAACAGTCCTGACACTTGACATTCACAGATGGTTCCCTGAAGGAGCCTCAGCCAGAGGCAATGGGTACAGAATCAATAAAAGGCAAATTATACAGAATCAATAAAAGGCAAATACAGGGAATGCATTAGGAAAGGAATAGATAAGAAGACATAAAATACCATAATAATACTATATATGTCCACATGTTGAATATTTCATGCAGTTCTGTTTGCCCCATCTCAGAAGAGATATATTAGAATTGGAAAAAGTACAGAAGACGGCAACAAAAATGATTAGGGGTATGGAGCAGCTCCCATATGAGGAGAGATTAAAAAGACAGACTGTTCAGTTTAGAAAAGAGACGACTAAAGGGAGGATACGATAGAGGTCTATAAAATCATGACTGGTGTGGAGAAAGTGAATAAGGAAGTGTTATCTACTCATTCACATAACACAAGGACCAGGGATCACACAATGAAATTAATAGGTAGCAGGTTTAATACAAACACAAGGAAATACAGTGCTTCTTCACACAATGCATAGTCAACCTGAGGCACTCGTTGCCATGGGATGTTGTGAAGGCCAAAAGTATAACTGGGTTCAAAAAAGAATTAGATACGTTCATGGAGGATAGGCCCATCAATGACTATTAGCCAAAATGGTCAGGGATGCAACCCCATGCTTTGAGTGTCCCTAAACCTCTGACTACCAGAAGCTGGGACTTGATGACAGCCAGGGGATGGATCACTTGATAAACTGCCATGTTCTGTTACTTCCTTCTGAAGCACCAGGCATCAGCCACCATTAGAAGCAGGATACTGGGCTAAATGGACCATGGCTTTGACCCAGTATGGCCGTTCTTATGTTCTTAGATCGTAAGGTTATAAGTCTATTGAGGAGATTCCAATGAGGTCATCCCAGAACAGCAAATTTAGAGAGAGTTACCAGAACTCTAGGGAGGAAATAATAATTTCACAATTTCTACGAGTCACAAGATACTTGTGGATGTCAGTAATTTGACCCCAACCCTGTGATGGAAATGTCACAGCAGTGAGAGAATGGCAGATTTAGTTTATTACAAGTGACTAGCTGATTGCATTCCATCATTGACAAGCTAATTCCAGCCACTGATTAGTTGGAATACTTTTGCCAGGTGTCCCCCCAAATCCTAATCCTTGGTTTTGGTGCTGGCTTTTCATGATCCAGCTGCCATATATTTTCTGATACTTATTCATAAACATTCAGCTCACTGAACCCACCCAATATTTAATCGACTGATCAGAAATTTTATTGAAGCCCCATCGTGCATAAAGCAAAAAACTTAAAGGGACATACTTTTGCCTAAAAAGTTTTTTACCTACTTCTAAGCAACAAACAAAAAAAAATTATATCTGAAAGATTAGTAAAAAATAAGTTTCTCTGTTATTTTTTGCTTGTTTATTTTAGGTATTTGACATTAAATTAGAGAAATATGTTTGTAAAACCACAAAAATTGGCAGGGGGAACTAGGGCAGGAACTTTAAAGGTTTCTTTTGAAATTCACTAGGTTTCCAGTTGACAGTGCCCCTTTAAACAATGTTTGATTTGTAAGGACAGTTGAAAAGAGGGGAAGAAGAGTGGAGTTGTTACCAAAAAATGAGCAATGGCAGGAGAAGCGTTAGCACTTGTAAAGAGAGTGTCTACTAGAACAGTAATTGGCATGGATTCTTTCTCCCCATGTAAAATGTGTAACAGCTATACATATAAAGTGCTGTTATAATTTGTCTTAACAGTGAATATTAGTTTGACTTCTCTGACCTGAAGTATAAAAGGATGCTAAGTGCTGAAGGCTGGAATAAGTCATCGCCGTGATTACACTGTCCAGAAGCTGCTTTGAGCTGTTACTGATGCTCAGTGTTATCTCTGGCATGCCAAGGTTGTTAACACAAGCATAGAATGCAGCGTGCTATTTCAGCAGACCTCCATGTGATTTATAAAGTGCGACCACCGGCACAGTTCAGTGACAAAGGCACTTGGCCAGGTGTATTGCCCTCAAGGCATAGTACTAATGCCCTGGCTCCGTGGTTACAGGTACACTAGACCTGAGTGTCCCATGGCAAGGAACGGCTCAGTCAGCAGCAGGAATTTCTGCTGTCTCTTCGACCATACAAAAGGTTAAGGGGAGGTACCTTGACATTTCTAACTGAGACAAACAACTTGCATACTGCCTCATATGTTTTATGATGACATCTACTTGTTACCTTCCCTTGTATTATACTCCAGTTGTCTCAGACAAAACTTCCTCTTATCTGGCGTTAAGTCAGGATGTCCCTGAGATAATCTTCTGGAGAGTGTTCCCACACATCCCCAGTATCTGTTGCTACTTAAGAGTGTCTGGGTTTTACCAATGCTAGCAATACAGTGAACTTGTAAATATCTATTTTAATACATGACCTGACTTTGGTTCACAGCCTCTGGTTCAGGCCTCAGTGCTCCAGGCTCTCCTCTCCTATACTCTGCTCTACTCTAGAAAAAGCAGCAGCAGGCTCTTCTTCGGTTGCAATCAGGCCACTAATTTTGAGCGTAACTCTCCATTGAAATAAATGAAGAATTAAACTGATGGTGCAATATGGCCTTGAGGAAAATTTCTTTCAATGCATTATGAGTACAACGTCCTTTCCCCCAGCGGGCGGCTGGGTTAAAGGAAAAGTGAGGTAGTGAACTAGCACAAGTGTCGCATCTGCAAAAGCACCATGTACATTTCTGTTCATATATTTTGTCTTTGGAGACAGATTTACAAATAACCCAGATGACCCAGGTATTTTCTAAGCATGGGCACCGCCAACTGAACAGAACATAAAGTGGATCCTCTTGTTTGTGCTAAATACAGCTTTAGAGCCACTAGCCCCTCTTGGGTGAGGTGCAGAGCTACATTGTTCCAGGAACAGCTGAAGGAGGGATTGGGCTGGGATGTTGAGCCAGGTACATGAGCCAGTGCAGGGGAGAGTTTGTACCTGCTTTCTACCCACCCCTGCTGGAGTAGTTTGAACTCCTGCGGATGTTTTCAGGGAGCAGTCCCTCACTCCTCTTAGCTGGGGGACTGGAATTAAGTCTGCTCCTTGTGCCAGTTGTTCATTTTGGAGGGAGGAAACTCCTTGCACCTTTCCTTCTGCACACCCACAAGAGGGCCAGGCACAATTTTGTCCTTCGTGAAGGCTCATTTTCACTGTAAGAACCAAATCCTGATCCAGCTGAAGTCAGTGGCAAAATTCCCCAAGGATTTCGGCTTTAAATCCCATTGGGTACAAATATGTAAAACAATCAGAGAAACTGATATGTGCAGCTGTGATCAGTTTCTAGAAGACAAACCCTCGGTGTTATTTTAGGTCACACCTCCCCCCATCTTTTTGATATAACCCATAGCATAAATCCACCATGAACCAAATACAGTTCTGTGATCAATGGCTCAATAGCAAGGAAGTTACAATCCTTTTACTCACCTATTACTAGAATTACGACAGCAGTTATGACAGCAACTCCGTTTGAAACCACAGCTGAAGAATCTGTGTGAAGAAACAGCACTTTCAGATCAGTCACTCTTTGAATCTCACTTGTGGAAAATGCCTCAAGAGAGAAATAGCCTTTTTCCTTTAAAACAACAACTTTGCAATCTGCCCTTTCAAGTTTGAATATTAAGTGACTGTTCTGGAAGATTTTAAAAGAAAATAATTGTTGCAAGTTGTCTCTCTCCAGCCAGTAAACCTTACTGCCACCAACCCTGCTGTCATCCAGATCTAGAAAGGCCAGATGTCCTAATTTTTCCATGACTCCTGCAGTTTTGATTAAGCCAGACTGACTGAGGCTAGGTCTACACTGGGGAGGGGAAGGGGGTGTCGACCTAAGATATAACAGAGGGTCCTGTGGCACCTTTGAGACTAACAGAAGTATTGGGAGCATAAGCTTTCGTGGGTAAGAACCTCACTTCTTCAGATGCAAGACCTAAGATATGTAACTTCAGCTATGAAGTCGGCGTATCTTAGGTTGATTTACCTGGCCGTGAGGACAATGGCGAGTCGACCGCTGCCGCTCCCCCGTCAACTCCGCTTCCACCTTTCGCCACGGTGGAGTTCCGGAGTCGACAGCAGAGCGATCGGGGATCGATTTTGTTGCGTCTACACTAGATGCGATAAATCGATCCCTGATAGATTGATCACTACCAGCCAATCCAGCGGGTAGTGTAGACGTACCCTTAGTTTCAGTACAACAAGACAGGGCAACAATTGTCCTTCTGTGCTCACTCGACTCCACTCCCACAGTGCTTCCCCATCTGCCATCACTCAGCTCTCACCTATATACACTGGTACTTGAATTCTCCCACCTTTTGTGCCTTTCACTTCTGGTACAATGCACTAGTACAATGATCACTGAGGCAGGGCTTATGGTAGTTTAGTTAGTTAGCTAAAAATAAATCACTTATAAAATAAATGGTGATACTACTGCTGTATTCTAGCCAGGCTGTATTCTCTCTTTCTCTAAACTGGTGCATATCTCTATTTGCAAGCCAGAGTCTATTACTGTCACCAGGTAACATGGCACTGCATAGTGACCTATAGGATGGGTGGCAATTTTAAACATCCTACTTACTTACTTACTTCTATAGCACATAGAAGACAAAGCTTTACTGAAATTTTAAATTAAAGAGCCCCCAACTCCAAAGTCTTCCCATAGTTCAGTGAGTTTGGTCTAATTTCTATTTTAACCATATCAAAATATTTTCACTTGAAAATGCATCAGCTAAATACAGAGGACCAATACTGGTGCCAAGCTATTTAGAGACGATTTATACTCCTAGCCTGGGCTGGGACCATTTATTTAACTCACTTTTTCCTGGGTTCTCAGTTAGGTAATTATTTTTTGTTGGCACTTGGAGCCATATTACACCATCCATTTTTAAACTTAACTCTGATAAGAACATAACATAAGAACATAAGAACGGCCATATCGGGTCAGACCAAAGGTCCATCTAGCTCGGTATCCTGTCTACCGACAGTGGCCAATGCCAGGTTTCCCAGAGGGAGTGGACCAACAGGCAATGATCAAGTGATCTCTCTCCTGCCATCCATCTCCATCCTCTGACAAATAGAGACTAGGGACACCATTTCTTACCCATCGTGGCTAATAGCCATTAATGGACTTAACCACCATGAATTTATCCAGTTCTCTTTTAAATGCTGTTATAGTCCTAGCTTTCACAACCTCCTCAGGTAAGGAGTTCCACAAGTTGACTGTGCGCTGTGTGAAGAAGAACTTCCTTGTATTTGTTTTAAACCTGCTGCCTATTAATTTCATTTGGTGACCCCTAGTTCTTGTATTATGTATATAACTTTTCCTTATCCACTTTCTCCACATCACTTATGATTTTATATACTTCTATCATATCCCCTCTTAGTCTCCTGTTTTCCAAGCTGAAGAGTCCTAGCCTGTTTAATCTCTCCTCATATGGGACCCGTTCCAAACCCCTAATCATTTTAGTTGCCCTTTTCTGAACCTTTTCTAGTGCCAGTATATCTTTTTTTAGATGAGGAGACCACACCTGTATGCAGTATTCGAGATGTGGGCATACCATTGATTTATATAAGGGCAATAATATATTCTCAGTCTTATTCTCTATCCCCTTTTTAATGATTCCTAACATCCTGTTTGCTTTTTTGACCGCCTCTGCACACTGTGCGGACATCTTCAGAGAACTATCCACGATGACGCCAAGATCTTTTCCCTGACTTGTTGTAGCTAAATTAGCCCCCATCATATTGTATGTATAGTTGGGGTTATTTTTTCCAATGTGCATTACTTTACATTTATCCACATTGAATTTCATTTGCCATTTTGTTGTCCAATCACTTAGTTTTGTGAGATCTTTTTGAAGTTCATCACAGACTGCTTTGGTCTTAACTATCTTGAGCAGTTTAGTATCATCTGCAAACTTTGCCACCTCACTGTTTACCACTTTCTCCAGATCATTTATAAATAAGTTGAATAGGATTGGTCCGAGCACTGACCCTTGGGGAACACCACTAGTTACCCTTCTCCATTCTGAGAATTTACCATTAATTCCTACCCTTTGTTCCCGGTCTTTTAACCAGTTCTCAATCCATGAAAGGACCTTCCCTTTTATCCATGACAACTTAATTTACATAAGAGCCTTTGGTGAGGGACCTTGTCAAAGGCTTTCTGGAAATCTAAGTACACTATGTCCACTGGATCCCCCTTGTCCACATGTTTGTTGATCCCTTCAAAGAACTCTAATAGATTAGTAAGACACGATTTCCCTTTACAGAAACCATGTTGACTATTGCTCAACAGTTTATGTTTTTCTATGTGTCTGACAATTTTATTCTTAACTACTGTTTCGACTAATTTGCCCGGTACCGACGTTAGACTTACCGGTCTGTAATTGCCGGGATCACCTCTAGAGCCCTTTTTAAATATTGGCATTACATTAGCTAACTTCCAGTCATTGATGGCACAAGTGGACCCTTGTTTAGGAGTGCAATCACTCCTACATTTGCTGAAGTCACTTAAGAGTATCAGAGCTCTGAAATGACCCATTCAAATACTGAATTGCATAGATGTGCACCTGAGATGAACTCATGGATGTATTTTTGAAAATGTAGCCCATTATTGAATAAACACTGATCATTGAGCATACACACACAATTTTATACACTCCAAAGCAGCATGAAGTTAATTCCCATAATTAAAACAACAAAAACTGTAAAATACTGCAAAGAGAAATTCTCACTTACCACTAATGGTCAATTCCAGGGAGGTTTCGTTCTCACTAACTTCATTGGTAACTTTGCAGGAGTAACAGCCACTATCAGCCTGTATTGCATTCAGTATGAGAAGTACACTGTTATTCCAAGAGAGTTGGTAGTGATCAGACCTAGGGAGAGGCTTATGGTCCTTTTTCCACTGATAGGAATCCACCCTACCTACGGTCACGTTACAGACCATTTCAATGGTGGAGCCTGCCAAGGAAGAGTTCCTAAAGAGTTCCGGCTTGGATAAGGGCTCTGGAAGAGGGAACATTTTGCTGTCATTATTCCTAAACACTAAAAAATGCAACCGCATTTCCCAAGAATGACTTAAAGCTATCCCTTAACTATTAATAGACACTATCCTCAGTCTTAAAGGAATACATTTCAATAGCACTGGATGGCACAAAAGAGTTATGCAATGTTGATCTTTATTAGCAGTGTATGCTAAGTAAATAAATCCCTACTAATGCAATATTATGATTGAGATTTAAACAATGTAAATCAAGTCATTTCCAATTATGGTTCCCATAGCATCCTTAATGCTCCTGCCTTGTAGTACGGTATATTACATTACAGTTCTGAACACGTCGACTTTAATGTCTTCCTAAGCAGCTAGAGTCATTTGCTGTAGAAATCAGAACTTTGATTTCACCTGTGAGAAAATTCCTCCCACCCACAACCATGAGACTGCCAGAAGATGGTTCTTGAGACTCTGAAAAGATAAATGAACAGGTGAAGAATATAAATGAAAAGCCTTGTTCTCCCTTTTTTCTGTATTTAGGCCCCAGTTCAGGAAGTCAATGGGAATTAAGTGATTCCAGCTACAAAGCTACTTAAAGAAACATACAAAAACATCCATTTTAGCAGTTTAAGACTATAAAATGGGAAGAAAGTAAGGAACTAACATTTAAAAATAAATTCGATTTTTTTTATTTACAAGGGTACAAATGATTACTACACACTCAAAGGTACACTTATGGAGAGAAAATAAAGTATTTTTCTCATAAGTATTTGCTAAATCTGGCTACTGTCAAATGTTTTATGAAGTTCTTTGGCTTGTCAATTTAAATTTGACCCACATTTTACATTTTGTTAAAAACAAGTATAAAACCTAAAACTATAATAATTGTTTTTAAAATTCCAATGAAACAATTTCAAACAAGTAACTTACCCATGCATTATGTTCACGGCATACACGTAAAGAAGTTAGATAAAAACAAATAATCTTGCTGGAAGGTTGTCACTTATTTATGTCAGTTATTTCTTAGAATTCAGAACGCTAACACACCAGAACCAAAAACTAGAGACACAAAGCAGGCTACTCCCTTAAAAAACAGAAGCTCTTTCTAAATTATCTGTCCGCAGACTGACTCTGATCAGACTCTTCCCTACAGAGCCCTCATCTACAAGTACAGCCAGAAAAACCCCAGAGAATTTAAAGTGGTAGATCACAATTTTGACGTGGATTTCAATACACCACACTCTGCAGTAAATGAAACCAAAACACTAGCAGCACTAGAAAATGAGAAAGCCAAACTGGCTTAATAGATGTTCAGTATCCTAGCTGAGATGACTGCAAAAAGAAATGGAGAATAAATATAGTTGGGATGAATTTTAAAAATTCTTTCTTTTTTAATATAGTGTTATTAGTACCATTAACACAGGAATGAATGAAACATGGTTTTTGGACACTATCTGTAAGCAATATTTATTTCTTCGTTTTTTTGGCTGTTTTAGACTATGTGTGTAACAGTCCAGGAATCCTGGCATTGGTGGTGCTGCTGATAATGTATGAACACACTTATTAGTATAAATAGGCTTCTGGGAATAAATTATGTGTCAGAGTTTAAGGCCAGTCAGGACCGCCAGTTCATCTAGTCTGCCCTCCTGTCTATTGCAGGCCACCAGCACCTAGGGCCAGAGCGCTGGGAGGAGGGCGGAGAGCCCGGCCGGGGCTCCACTCTCCCCGGCGGCCAGAGCACCGGGAGGAGGGCGGAGAGCCCGGCCGGGGCTCCGCTCTCCCCGGTGGCCAGAGCGCCAGGAGGAGGGCGG